AAATAGTGAAAAAACTGACTAAAAAAAATTGTAATAAAATAAACATAAACATTTAATTGTGGATTATGCACAGAGTTATTCTAGGCATGACATAACGCTTAAAAACAGAAAATTGATGGCTTTTAATGCTTTAATTTATGAAAACGCTAAACTAATGACACATGGTGTGTTTAGCAAAGGGCTTCAGTGCTGCTACAGGTGGAAGTTGGAAGCTCTGTGTCAGAAACATTTGTCCGGACACACGTTAAGTTCAAGACGTTCCTCCTGACCAGTCTCAAAAGCCAGTGTGTCTGCACCATGCATTCAAGGCAGTAATAAACTATTTATTTGCACTTGTGTCAGTTTGTATATAACTAAATCAGTTCCACACATTGATGGACAACCTTTAGCATGAAGAACACAGAATAATGCACTGTATTTGATCAGCTCAGTGGTGGTGAACACTGTTGCTTCACAGCCAGAAGATCCTGGGTTCCAGCCCATCATTCGACTGGGAGTCTTTCTGTGTGGAGTTTGCATGTTCTCCTCATGTTTGCATGGGTTTTCTTCCAGTTAAAAAACAGTCTACCTTAAGGCCCAGGCCTCCAAGAGATGGAAATGGAACACGATGTTAATGAATTTTACTAGTCTCTGATCTGCAACCAGAACACATTTAAAAACATTATTCCCATATTTGAGTTCTAACGTCTAATGTAAATGAAACACCGTGTTCCTGTTGACTCAGCACTATTAGACCCTCATACTGAACCATGTGCAATATTTGTTTTTAATCCTAATGGAGAATTTTCCACTATGAAAATAGTTTTGTCCTTGCTTATTGACATTTTACTCTTTGTTTCATAGTCCACATCACGTTACTGGTAGAGTTTTAGACGTGTATCCTTGGTTTCCTTTGATCTTGTACAATTAAAAACACCCCAGGATCATTTTATGGGAATGAAAGGAGCTGGAGCAGGGGCCTGTGGTCAGTCCATCCTGCTTAATTGAGGCAGTTAGGGTTGAAGAGACTTAAAAGCCCGAGTCCCCCTCGACTCTGATGGTTGTCCTATGAGGGGACTCAGTAGGGCCCTCGGGTCTTTTGATAGGGCACTCGCCGGCATCCTTTGGGGCTGTTTCACCCCCCACAATAAACAGGCAGCCCTTTGTCACCAAGGGAGGGGAGGGGGGTTCCTTCTCGTTATTATTTTCTAACGTAATTATACCTTATTATCTGTGTTTACTTTAGCGGGGGTGCAAGAGTGCAGGTGTGGGCCATTCTGCAGTGGGTTTGTAGTCTCACTGGTAAACCCAAGTTTTTTTGTGTTTTTTTACTCTCACCCCTCCATCTTTACTTTGTGGGTTGGGGGGTTAGTAGTAGTATTGTAGCTCCACTGTTAATTTCAGCCCAACAAAAGAAACGTGCAATTACAGCTATTATAGTAGCAGCTGCACGCTTCCTAGCTGTGAGGCGACAGCTTCATCCTTCACCTCGGCTTTTTGGTGAAGGGATCGGAGAGGGGAGTAGCAGAGCGAGCAGGGCGCTGGATCAGTGGGAGACAGAGAGCCGGAGTGGTCACAGAAGCCTCTGCAGAAAACGAGGAAAAATATCGCCTGGGAGGGAGGCTGGTGTGTTTCTACAGCGTACACGCAGCGGGGTCTCTCGCCCACAGGCTTGTGGGCCCAGAGAACAATGGATCTGCCATCTCCCAACATGAAGTGTTATGAAATAGTCCTCGCCACAGCTCCATTGGCTGCTCTCTTGCATGTGGTCTCAGAACTGCGTGGGCCGAGAAAATGATTTGCAAATAGGAGGATGCCTTTTGAAGTTTCTGGGTCATCAGAAAGACAAGAATCTGTCTGCAGTGTTTAGAAGCTTAAAGGTGCACAGGAACAGTTTCATTTTAACATTAGGACATAAGATTGAGGGCACGGTGGTGCAGTTAATAGAGCTGCTGCCTCTTAGCGAGAAGGTTGATCAAACTCCCTGGGTCTGGATTTGATTCTGGAGACCTTTCTAGGTGGAGTTTGCATGTTCTCTCCGTGCATGTGTGGATTTATTCCAGGCTCCAGTTTCCTCCCACAGACCAAAATCATGCATGTTAGGCTGATTGGTAACTCTAAATTGTCTCTAGGTGAGAGAGAGAGAATGATTGTTTGTCTTGTTTGTCTCCATGTGTCCCTGTGATGGACTGGAGACCTGTCCAGGTTGTCCCCTGCATTTTGCACGGTGACTGCTGGACTTGGGCACTAGCCACCCAGTCAACCCAGAAAGACAGAATCAGGATTAGACAGTGAGTGGACTTTAGCTTAATCTGTATTAAAAGCATTCCTTGAAGGAATGTACCTAAAGTAGCCCGCTCCTTTTCATGCCACACTTTTAAACTAAAATAAACATAGTTATGTTGAAATGTCAGAGTTGCCACACTCAGATGTTGTGACTGACTCTCAGCTACAACCACACCCCCAATATCTGTACAATTAACTAATCTGTATTTGTTTTTTTTATTTCAGTTGGCTACGAGACATTTTGAGTCAACTTAGTGCCAAGTTTGAATGAATTTTAGAGGTAAACACTGATTATGTGAAAATGACAATAAAATTCATCCAGTGACTCACAAGATATTTTGCTAACAGACAGCAATGACTACAAATGACAAGCTTTTAATCAAATATCTTGATCTGTTAGATTTAGAATACCTGTTTGCGCTGGGGAGCAGGCTCAGCCATTACCAGACCAAATTTTAGGTCAGTGTATAAAACCAACAGGGTTTCAGCCATTTTTGTGTTTAAGTTCAGGCGGCTGTGGCGGCCATCTTGAGCCAGGTTGACCCCAATAGGTGATCAGTTTTAGATGTAAAGTACATCCATTAATTACCTTCTGCAGGTTTCATAAACATCTGCCCAGCGGTTCAAGATTCAGTTTGGTAACAGACACAAGTTAAAACTGAATTGTCCGCCTTCACTTTCGGCAGCAGGTGAAAAAAGAACTGTTTCTGAAATATTCGCTTCATGATTTCAGTCAATAACAGACAACAGCACCATCCATGTTAAGGTGAATCATGTGGGTCACGAAGGAGCAACAGAGGCAGGCCCAAATTAAAGTCACCGCTGAATGAGGCTGGAGAAGACGATGACGGATGATCTTTGCTGGGCTCAACGTCATCGCAGCACCGAACACAAGGGAGCAATCTTACGCTCCGATCACAAACAAAATGGTCACAAGTCCCCCTCTGCTGCTCTCACTTACCGATTCTCTCACTCCACCGGCTCTGCAATAATCACTTGGCCCTGGGCCCTTAGCTGCACAGGCATAAACAGATCGGAGCATCCTGCATGTGTGAATGTGGGACCCAAACTAAGACCTTGCTTTATTTTCTGCAGCACGTGCCAAGAAAACATTTTTTGTTCATCGATATGTACGTCGGTGGCAGCTGGAGCACAATACGACTGTACACTCAGGGGAGTCGACGGGCTGCGATATGATGAGATAAGTGGAGGTAAACAGGGATTCTGAGCTTCCCCTGAAGAGAGGAGTCGGATGCTTTTCAGACAACAATCAAACCCTTTGAACTGAGCTAAATGAGTTTAGTTCCAAACTTTTGGGTCTTAAATGAGTTTAAAGTGCTGAGACGTTCTTATTCTGCAGAGGTTTACAAAGAGCAAATGATGCAAAAAAACCCTAGACTTGAAAGGTTTTTAAAATAAATTTGCATTAAAATTAAAATTGTGGGCAGCTGTGGCTGAGTGGTTAGAGCAGTCGTCCTCCAATACAAGAGTTGGGGGTTCGAATCCACCAGCAGTCACATGCCGAAGTGTCCCTGGGCAAGACACTGAACCCCTCATAGCCTCTGATGTGTGTCCCATCAGTGTATGAATGTGATAAAGCTCTGATTAGTCTCTTTAGAATGATTTGTTCAATTATCTTTGTACAGATCTAGTAGAGTGCTGTATGAATGAGTCAATGAGGCACAGATTGTTGTAAAGAGCTTTGAGTATCTTGATTAGATAGAAAGATGTTATATAAGTAGAGTTTATTTAAAATGTACCTACAATAACAGGAGCACTGACTGGATTTATTCTTTAAACTTTCTGCATATTAGTCATATAAAACCAACATTTGGTCTTATGTTTGTGACATTGTACACTACAGTGATTGTTATATAACACAAAAAGGTGTCACACAACACTTGTGTAAATGTTTGTCCATCACTTTTCACTTCTGCAGGTTGAAATGGGTTTTTGTCAGGGTGAAAGCAGCATTTGCCGCCTCGGCCTCACTGGCATCCATTTCACCTCATTAGGACCCTGAACCAAGAGTCGACACAACACACGACAAATCACTTTGCCGGGGGAGTGTGGCGGGGAAAAATTGGCCTCTGGTTCAGAGCTAGAGCCCCTGCTGTGTGCAGCGGAAGAGCAGGGCCTGGCTGGCAGTAGGGGCAGGCCCGGGCATGGCAGGCCCCATGCTGAGACCCCCTCCCTGCCTCTGACAAACACAGCAGTGGATAATCTCTTCTTTAGGGACTCAGCCTTGCACTGGAGGGGCTGAGAGGGAAGGGAGCATGGGGTGGGGGGGGGGGGGGGGTGCAGTTGTGCAGCAGAGCTGAGGAACTGCCTCTTTCTGTGTGGCATGAAGCACAAGCACACTTTAACACACTTATCAGTTTCTGTACATCTTCATTTTCTCCCATCTTATTGTCCTTTCCTTTCTCACACAAAAAGCCTTTTGGAAATCGTCAATATTTGCTATAAATTAATGATCTGTTCATGTCAGCACTTCAACATGAGCAATCTCCAAAACTGGTGTTTAAATCAAAACTGAAAACGCCTTAGTGCTTGTAATAAAAAGAAAACAGTTTTCTGATGACCATTATTCAATCTATGGGTTGTGTTAATTAAATAGGCTCCTGTAGACACACACAAAATAATAAATTAAACTGATGAACAAACAGATCAAACTATGATGATCCAACATCTAATTCCTACTAATGGCAACACCCAATATTGTAAATAAAATCCATAAAAAAATACTCAAAGAATTTTTCTCCAAGACTTTACTTCCAATATTTCTTACCAAAAAACTAAAATTAAACAAATGAACATCTTCAGATCTTCTTGTGATGAGCCAGTAATAATCAAATATAAGTGTCCATATCCAGCATCACTGACTACTGGAAGCCTGGTGATCCACTATGACGTCTCCATCTTGTAACCGTGCTTTTCCAGCTCCGCTCTGCAGGGAGGAGAACAGGGAGGAGAACAGGGAGGAGAACAGGGAAGAGAACAGGGAGAAGGAAAATAAAAACATCAAGTCAGCAGAGATGATGACAGGTGGGCGGCTGGGGCACAAGCACCCTCTGCCATTGATTGTAAGAACCATTAAAAGATGGACATGAAAACAAACTACATAAATATTAGATAATGCATGCAGCCATGAATTTATTTATATATATATATATATATATATATATATACATACATACATACATGTGTGTATAGCAGCAGTGCCCTTAAACAATAATAACTAAGCAACAACTTAATAGTGTGGGAACTCTAATAGATCTAAATAAAAGGGCATATTACTGTCCTGAGGGTACTCGAAAATAAACACAGAGCTGCCACTTTTCTATGAGCTGATATTGATTTTGTGTGAGCGTGTTTATACTTTGAAAGAATTACAGATCTTACAACAACCTCATACACTAACCCTGTTAAGATCAAACTATTTAGGCTTTTTTAAAGCACGTGACATTTTGTCGTTATACTGTTATTATACTTTTGAGTTTTATAGAGTATTTTGTCTGCACAATCCTAACAGCCCCCCCCCCCAATAACAGAAATCTGAGATTATGTTTTATAGTTTCTCATTCATATACACATATATAAACACTTTCAGGAAGAAAGCGTTTATATATGGATATCATTTGTATTATTTTAATAACACAGTTGCAGTTCACGGATGTAACTCACTGTGGAAACGTGTCTGCTTGACAGTGAGTGGGCGCATCTATGAGAGCAGCCAGGAGAGTCATTTATTTGAACAAGTTAAGAATGTTTGATGAGGTTTCTTGGTCATTTTTTCTTTAATTTCAACAGCACTTGTATCTGAAGCCAAAAGCAGAAAGCAGATGAAAGATAAGCAGAAAAAGGGGCAAAGCAGCAACTCTTGATAGCGCGTCCATTTGCATACTTGAAGTACATGTCTGGAAAACTAACGCTTCATTTGCACGTCGCCACAGTTGCTATTTATTCATATTGTGCAAGGCAGCAAGGTGGAAAATGTCCACAAAAAGTCATGAAGGAGACCGGGGACATTAGTGTTCTCAAGTGCCACACCTTTGGAGAAACACCAGAACATTTCAGGACTACAGAGCATAAATGAATCAACCATGTAGAAGTTTTATTGTCTTAAAAGTTAATTATTTTTGGTTTTAAAAAAAGCCCTTATCTTACTTTATTAAAAACAATGATTTACTTGTCAAGATGTAAGATTATTCATCTGCTTAGTGTTTCAAGAACTTTAACAATATAATTCAAATACGTCAGACATGATGCTGTTGTTAAAGCCTAACTGCAGCTGAAAGACACCGGTAAAAAACAAATATCCAAATTTGTTGCAAAAAACTGCCTTTGTTCAAGAAAGCAACATTCAAAGGCTGCACAGACCCTGTGACAAGGTTGAAAAGTACTTTCCTTTTACATTTGCTTCTGCCACAATGTAACATCTGCCTAAAACAAACAAGACTCATATGGTAATAATAATAATAATAATAATAATAATAATAATAATAATAATAATACTTTATTTGTATAGCACCTTTCAAACAAATGTTACAAAGTGTTTCACATTAATCACTTAAAACAACATTATAAATGACATCAGAAACACAAAAGTATACCAAAACAATTAAAATAGATAACAACATAATAAAGAAAAAAAATCAGATATTAAAAGCCTTATATAAACAAGTAAGTTTTAACTAATTATTTAAAAGAAGACAATGAAGAGGCCTGTCTAATATTTAGAGGAAGAACATTCCACAAACTAGGAGCCCTGACCATAAACGCCCTCCTTCTGTCACCAGTCGAGCTCTGGGAGTGGAAAGTAGGGATGGGGCCGATCCGATCCAGTATCGGCCTCTGATACCAGCAAAATTTACGTATCGGATTTTCCAATCCACCTGCCGATATTTCCGATCCATGCACGTCTGTGGTTGCGCTGCATGTTGGCTTCAAACTACGGAATGGATTTCCTGAACGGCGGCGTGTCTCATGAGCCCAGAGTAATAAGACCCGCCTCACATTCAGGAAATCCAGTTCATAGTTTGCAGCAGCTACAACGTGAGGACTGAGTTAGCAGCACTGTGGCTAACAGCTAACAAACTTTTCATCTAAACATGTCCGCTGTGTGGAAGTATTTTACACTAAACACCACAAAACAAGACAGCAACGTGCAATGTCTGCAGAGCCATAACGTCACATTAAACCACGGGAAAGTTAGTTTTACGATGGACATTCGAGCTCCGGGGCTTCAGCGGGGCGCTGCTCTTTGGTCAAACCGAAAGAGACGACTCGACACCGGCCAGTCGTCCAATCTACCCCGCTCAGTCTGCTCGTCTCTGAGGAGGGACAGACTGAGCGCGCTGCCCCAAATCAGACTGCCTGCTTCGGATTGAACAAGAAGAAGACGTCGCTGAAACCATGGAGCTCAAATGTTTACAGAGAAGTTGATAAACTTAATCATAATTAATGACCAACCACTATCAGTTGTAGAAAACGAAGGATTTCACAGCTTGATACTTGCAGCCAAGATATAGTTTACCCTCCAGGAGATATTTATCAGTACAACAGTAGACAATCATTAAAAAACATATGATTTGAAAATTATATTAAAAACATAAACAGCTACATTATAAACTGATGTAAAATACTAAAAACAGGAACATGTTTGTTGGTTTATGTCATGAACTTATCAGATGTTTGAAGCCATTTAACATTTAATTTAATTCATTTATTCATTCATTTAAATGAATCAAAATTTAAAAAAAAAATCATCAAAGAGAAAACATTGAATGAAAAGAGTGCAGAAAGAAGAAAACATTCTTATATCTGCCCCTTATAAAATATAAAATAACTTTAAACAATCACTTAATATCCACTTTAAAGCTAGGAATAAAAAGAAATATAATTTGTGTTAGCAGAATTTAATTCTAACTTTAAAACTTATCCAACATTAATAAAACTTACCTCAAGTTGCCTTTTTGGACATGCATGCATATATTTGTACAAATTGTACTTGAGAGATTATTACAGCCTCATATAAAATCAATGATGATCATGATATCGGAACTGGATCGGTATCGGTTGATATTTAGTTTTAGGTATCGGGATCGGAATTTAAAAAAGTGGATCGGTGCATCCCTAGTGGAAAGAACAGATTTAAGGATCTGAGATTGCAAGAGGGGATGTAGGGGGTAAGAAGCTCAGATAGATATGATGGCGATAAGACTGTTCAGGGATTTAAAAACAAACAATAAAATTTTAAAGTCAATTCTAAAAACCACAAGGAGCCACTGCAATGAGGACAGAACTGGAGTGTTCTGTACTCGTTGAAGGCGATACAGAGAACTTTGGGGCAGACCAGAAAATAAAGTTACAATAATCAAGATGACGAGAGACAAAGGCATGAATAAGAGTTTCTGCATCAGTTAAAGAGATAAATGCTCTGATTTTGGCAATATTCTTAACTTGACAAAAAAAAAATGCTGTTTTAGTGATGTTCTTAAAATGTTTAGAAAATCTTAAGACACAATGCTGCTTTATACTTTGTTCTGCTAAGGAGAAATTGTTTACTCAATCGATTTAGATTCAATCTTAATCAAATGTACAGAAAATGTATTTTTTAATTATGAAATAGTTATTCTAATGTTCTATGGGAAAAATAACTAATGTGACTTGATAATACAGCATGAATTAAGATTATTTTAATAACTAAAATCAGAACTTTATGCTTCGGTATGTACACATTGTTCAGGAAGTTGAACATTTATTACAAAAAAGAAGAGTTTAAAGTGAAAGAATGCCTTCAAATAAATAAATAAATAAATTCAGTCAAGTTACACAAGTCTGTAAAATGTTCCTCATTCTAGATTAGTCAGTAAGGGACATTTTCTGTGGCCTATCCAAAGCTCTCTCAAAGTCTGTGTGACTTTTATTTTCATTAGTTTTTAATTGTGATCAGTAACTTTGGTTCAAGAGTACTTTTGCTATTATACATGTTTTATGATTTTAATGTTTTATGGTTTTCATGTCTTTGGTCAATTTTGGTTCTTTTAAATAACCATAAATTTGATTACACATAAGTGGGAAAAACACGACAGTCACTGCTAAAAATATATTTAAAAACTCAACCAACTGAACTGGGTCATAAATCTTTGTTGGTTTATTGTAATGGACAAAATGTCTTTAAAATGCTTTAATGGTTATTACCTGAGCTGATTTGAGAAATCATCATCTATATTGTCGTCGTCCCAGTTGTCTTCCCAGACATGAGCATCTTCATCTTCATCCAACCAATCTGGAATTTCAACACAATCCAAGTTAGAAATACAGATTTAAGTTTCTCTCAACGCAACAGAAGCTCCTTTTCACCTGAACTGGAGTAAACAACGTGCAGACACACAGCGAAGAACACCGTGTGTTAGCTTAACACGCTAAACACGCGGTGAAAGAAATACAGAAATACAACAATACAACAAATTACAGGCTCGTTTACTCGGGTATTAAAGGACAAAAAGCCCCAACATGTGTTAACTTAGCGGACCAGATCAGCTGAGATGCTTTCTCATCAAGCTAGCTAAAGCTAATGTGGCTAACCTAGCTGAGTCACTCGGGCTCAGCAGCGGTAAAGTTACAGCTCCGACAAGCATCTCACGAAAACAGCAACTCTACACAATGTGCCTTATTTACCTTCGGCTGGGAATTCTTCAAACTCATCATCGTCCTCCAGTAAACCCAAGTCTACGGTCTGCTTTTTCTCTGTCATGTTAGCTCTTTACCAGTGGCGCTGCTCACTCAGTCGAAGGATCTCACTGAGGAATTCTGGGAAATTGAGGCTGTTCAGGCAAGTAGTTACTGCGCAGCGGAGCGCAGTCCACGCGTGTAGTCACTTTAATGAATCTACATTTTTATGTTCTGAAATTTATGTTCTGAAAGATGTAATAAATAAATAAACAAGTAAACAATGTCAACATGATCAGTGAGAATTAAAATATTTCAGTTAAATTTACGTCATCATCACTGACTACAAGTGAAATGGCAACAATAACACGAAGATGTTTAAAAAGTAAATAAAATTTGACCATGTTTTAAAATTAAATGACGTTATGCCTAAAGTTTATTTTCATATAGGTTCAGATTAATGCAGTTGTGGGTTGTTTCTTAACAGTTTTTAGTACTATTTGTTACAAGAAAAAAGAAGGTTAAGCATTTTGTAATACAAAAGCAAAGCCTGAACACGAGGACTAAAACAATTGTGGGAGAAAAGTTTTGAAAGAAACAACATTCTTTGTTTATTACCTTTGTAGTTTGTGCCAGTGTTGTTTTCACAGGTGTGACAGTTTGACCAACTTTAATCTTTCAGTGTGCAAAAATGATCAGATTCATTTGAAATATATTTTTTTAATCATTAAAAACTTTTTTTTTTTTTGTGGAAATTTCAAGTTTGGCGGCATAGTCAGATCCAGGAGAATAAAATGCAAATATGTTAATCTGTGATTTATTAATTTTTTTCCAAAGGATCCAGATCATAATGTTCATAATCTTGATTATTACTAAACTTGTGCTGTAAAATGGTCATTTTACTTTTATTTATTTATTTTGCTAATTTGGTCCACATATTTCCCAGATAATCCATTGAATGACAACAGTTTTAATAATACTACTGTTTTACTTGATTACACATTGTTTGGTCAATACAAGTTGCTTCGAAGGTTTGCAACTTTAATATTAAAAAAAAAAAACGACAGAGAGTAAGACTTAAATAACATTTTAAGACTGCAAGTGATAAAATCTACAGTGAAATTTTGCATCATTTACGACTTATCAGCCTGACCGTACAAATTTTATATGGTTTATCGCAAATAGGAACTTTTGATTTGTGTGATAAAAGTGAGGGGAAAAAATCATATAAAGAAATACCTCATTGAAAGAACAATAAAACAGTGTTGCCCTACATTTACAGTTTTATGTATGAATGGCAGTTCAACGGTCAGCAAAAGCTAGTTTGTGGTTTATTTACAGGAACGGACAGAAATGTACTGCTTCAGACAACCATTTTACATTGAAATGCATTTCTCTGATTAAGTGTGAAAAATATAAAGTCAAAATCTAAAATAAAAATTGTAAACTTTTGTTACCTTTAAAATGAGCTCTTGTAAAATTGCTCAGCTCATGTTTTGGTTCGGCTGTACCTCTTTGAAATATGTTCATGCAGTGCTTCCTCTGTGTCATCCCAGTAGAATATAGAGGCAGCTGGAGCCACTGGAAAGCATTTATTTCTTTCTTTTAATGTTTTTAGCAGGACTGGAATGAATTTATTACAGCTTGACATTGAAAAGTTAAAGAAAACCTTTAAAATAGGAGCAGATATTTGAGTGCATAGACAACTGTTCTGCATGTTTCTCTCACCTCAGCCTTTATGCCACACCACCACAGAAGCTTCCGTACTTCTACACACCCTCGAGTCAATCGAATCTCAGCAAAGATGTTTCATTTGGGAACAAACGCACATTGTGACCCATGTGGCTCGCTCAAATAATGAAGCGGCATGCAGCCACAGCTTAGGATGTGTTTTAGAAAAATGGGAGCGCACATTTACCACAAAACCACTCAGGCCACAATGAAAATTGCTCTGCAGCTGTCATATGTTGACAGACGGAACAAACCTCAACTTAAGCTCGGCGTACTTATTCTATTTTCAAATTACTTTGCAATCATCCTTCATACACGACAGTGCCACAACATTTAAAGGAAAGAGGAACGAGACGTGCAGAGAAAGTTAAGGCCTCAGTGTTTAAATAGAAGATTCACTGTCAATAAGAGCAATAGAGTTTAACAATAAAATACAATTAAAATGAAAGTTTCTGTAGCGTTGTTTAACAAACTACCAAAACGTCTCAAGGACCACTGAATGGATTTTAAATAAACGATCTGAACATAATATTTAGATATACATTTATTTGAAAACAATAGTTATCACAGCTCGATTTGAGCAAATGCAAAAATCACAATCATTTTTATAGGAACTAAATTAGGTATGGTAGTAGGTGAGAGTAATCCAGATCTTGAAAAACTTTTTGTCAAAACATTGGCATGCGAGTGGGCAGTTCTGCAAGGACTGCTTTGATTATTTAGTAAAATGAACTACGGTAATTTAAAAAAAACATAGATAAAAGAGATGTATGTCTTTTTTTTCCTTTCTGATGTAAAAAAAACTGTTTTACCATCAACTACTGAAAGAGTTGATGGTTTTCATTATTGAGAAATTTGATCTAACTTTTATTTTTGCTTTATGATTCAAATAATGTCCTAAATGACAAGTAGCTCTGATTGTTGAAAAGCCTGCCATATACTAGCTCTTCAGTAGATACAATTAATCACAACAAGCTAAATCTGAGTCACCATTTCTAGTTTTTCAAACTAGAATGATGAAATGATGGTGTTAAAGGAACAATGCGGTTTCATTCCCATCGTTGCTTATGAAGCGTTTTAATTTATGAATGCTGCACTGTTTGGCTCTGAGCTGGCCTCCCTGAGGTATTGTTGATTCTGGTTCCCGTGTCACTCAGTCTCAGGTACGAGTGATGTCCTGGGAAGTGGTCGCAGCGTCAGCTCGGCATACCTGAGACTGTGGTAACTCTGCGCCTGGCGCCTGGAGTCTCTCTGCTCAGGTAAAGAAAGAAAAAGAAAAGGAGGGCGGGGGTGGAAGTAAGGGAATTCATAGACGAGAGATGATCTCTGCAGACAGACTCCACCACAACTCGTGTCTGCACTGCAGCATCACATTTCTGCCTTTTCACAATGCCCTCTGGGAAAGGACAGGACGGCAGACGCAATAAGTGCAGCCCGAGAGACAGACCACGACTCCAGCTGAAGCTTCCTGTCTAACTGCTCCCCCCCACTACCCCCAACCTGGCTCATGATGTGGCCTTGAGGCGCTGCACAGTGAGAAGTGAATGGATACAAGAGGGTTAAGATTTGTTAGAGAAGAAAGATGTGAGTGCGTGTCACCAGATAATCCAGATCGCCTCTCGAAGATAACGGAGGATCCTTTTCCCTCCACATGTCTGAGAAAGTGACAGAGCACGAGGAGACAGCTGGCTGTCTGCTGAAAGCTGTATACTTACTGTACCTGTGGATACTTTGTTTAGACAACCACCTCCTTGCAATTATGCCTCACAATGCCACTTTCCCTGGCCTCGGAATAGATGCTTCCTGTGGTGCCAATCAAAGCAGAGAAAGTGAAGTTGTCTGAGTGCATGTCAGAGCTGTGGAGTGTTAAGACTAAAAAAAAGTTTACGGGGCGCAAGAGCTTAAAATACCATGTGATATAGAAATAAGCGATTATCGTGGATTAAGGAGTCTTAACCAGATAATCAAACTGGCAAATTCAAGAAAAAAAACCATGTCGGCGAAATCTGCAGTGAGAGCGAAGTGCTTCCAGGATATGTCTGTCAAGATCTTGTATTAGATGTAATCCCAGCCAGTCAGTGAGTCGGCTCTGTTGTGTGTGCTGTAGAAATCTTTCTTCATCTAAATACATGCACTCATGAATATTGACTATTTATTCACATTAAATTCCCCAATAGTTTATAGCAGATCCACATGGAAAACATCTTATGTTCATTTTTACTTCCTTTATCTACTTTTTTGAGGGGGTTCATTCTCTGGGATGTCTGTCATGATGAATTTGTTTCATATTTTCCCCTGTCTGTCTTGAAAAGCTCTGTCATCTGGAGCTGGAGGTACAGTTTGCCAAGCAGCTAATGGCCCTTTATGACAGCACAATCTGATGCCTGTCCCAGCTAGCCTCCAGGTAATCCTGTCCACCTCGGTGGCTAAGCCCTGCTCAGGCTTAAGTTGCATATTTTGTTTTTATCAGGTCACTGCTGATAAATGCTATCAGCGGGGGGGAAATGAAATATGGGGGGTCTATAGCTTTGCTGTGCCCATAAGCCCCTGGTTGGAAGGAACAATGACACCTCTATTTGGTGGATCTTGAGGAATAGGCAGGATTGTGCTCTTATTTGCGTGTGCTGGGAAATGTGCAACGCCGCTGTGGAAATTTCACTCATTTTAGCTCGTCAGCAAATGTTTTGCATAAATCCATGATAATCCAACCACTTAAAAAAACACTTTCAATTACATTTTACAACAGCTTTACTTGTGGACCCCCAAAATATCATTAAATAAAATCATAGAATTACATGCTAATTTATTTCCAGTAATGTGCACTAATAGTGTGCTACCTGTGTGTCCGTGATCCAATGGCGCGGACCTGTGCTGTATGTGAAAAGCACTCACACACTCTTACCATAGGTGATAACCCCTCTGTGAAAAGCACTCTTATGGGAAGTACCCATTATCTGCAAAGTCTATCCTCTTGCTGACACCAAGTCATTAGCTTAAGCTGTCGTCTGTGTAAAATCATAGTTAATTTCTTTGGCTTTGGTGAAATATGAATGAAAACACTTTTCATTGACTGAAACCGCAGATAAATGAAGTAAAGACAGTACATTTTAAACTGCGTATGCAGGTAAGCCAAGCATGGTTTGTGCCCTTTTGAGCTGTTTATATTGTTGTATTGTAAAACGGTGGCATGTCTTTAGCACAGCTAGTAGAAGAGTAATCTACTGGGATCCTGCTGGATACATCCGCCTGTGTTCGGGGGTGGGGGGGGCATGAGTGGGGGTTGATACTACATCTGGCCCTGGTGTTCAGACTTGTTAAAGCTGCAGTTTTCCTAGTTAGCTTTGCTTTTAAAGCTCACTGGAGTTTGGCTTTTGGTTTCTTCCCTGACCGTAAACAAAAGGTT